AACACGGGATGGCCATGCCAGGACCAAGTGCCAGATGCAACTGGATCACCTGACAGACATGCTTAAACAACCTGCCGGACACACTGGAACTACCCACCAGACATACTGGTACCATCCACCAGAAAAACCTGAACTACCTGCCTGACACGCTGGAACCAACTGCTGGGCACGTCGGAACCACCACCCAGACACTCTGGAACCATGCACTGGAGATGCCTGAATCAGGTCCTGGACATGCTGGTACCACCTGCAGGAACTGGCAGAATCAGCTGCTGGACACAGTGGACCACCTTCTGGAAACGCCAGAACCATCTGCTGGACACAACGGAACCACCTTCTTGACACACTGGAACCACCCCTGGATATGCTGCAACCAACCAATGGACACGACTGATCCACTTGCCGGACAGCACTGATCCACCTGGCAAACACGGCTGAACCACCAACCGGACACACCAGAACCACCTGCCTGATACCCTGTAAACACCTGCCTGACATGCCGGAACCACCTGTAGGATATGGCAGAACCAGGTGCTGGACACTGTAAAACCACCTGTGGGATACGCCAGAAGCAGATGCCGAACACACCACAACAACGTGCTTGACATGCCAGAATCACCTAGCCAGACATGCCGAAAACAACCTGCTGGACACACTGAAATCACCTGCTGGATACGCCAGAACCAGGTCCTGAATACGCCAGAGGAAACTTCTGCACAGACTGGAAAAACCTGGCGTACATGTCGAAATCAACTGCCGGACATGACAGAACCACCACACAGACATGCCTAAACCACCACCCGACATGACGGAATCAGGTCCCGGACGTGCCGTAGCCACCTGCCAGACACGCTGGAATCACCCACCGGACATGTGGGAAACAACTGCCGGAAACCCCGTAAGCACCCACCAGACACATTGGAACCACCACACAGGAACGCCAGAACCATCAGCCACACACGCTGGAACCAACTGCTGGACACCCTGGAAGCACCCTCTGGAAACGCCAGAACCACTTTCCTAATGTAAAAGAACCACTTGCCAGACATACCACAAACACCTGCCAGACACACCGGAACCACCTATTGGATATGCAAGAAGCAGTTGCCGGACATGGTGGAATCTGGTGCCCTAAGGCCAGAACCACCTGCTGGACACGCCCGAAACACTTGCCAGACTTGCATGTACCACCAGCCAGACATACCGGAATCACCTGCCAGATACGCTAGAAAAAGGTGTCGCACATGACGAAACCAGGTGCTGGACACGACTGAACCACCTGCCAGACACCATGGAGCCACCTACTGGATACGCCAGAAACAGGTGTCACACATGCTGGAACCAGGTCTTGGACACGACTGAACCAAGTGACAGACAAGCCTGAACCACCTGATGAATTCATCGTAACCACTTTTAGGATGCGCCAGAACCATCTGGTGGACATGCTGGAAGCATCTGCCAAACACACTGGAGCCAGGTGCCAGACACACTGGAACCGCCTGCTGGACACGCCAGAACCCCAGGCCAGACATACTCCAAGGACATGCCGGCCATGCCAAACCACTTCCTGGATACACCCAGACCACCTGCTGGACAACCCCAAAGCACCTCCCGGAGAGGATTGAATCACATGCCAGACACTCCCAAACCATCATTCAGACACGTCAGAACCACGTTTCAGAAATGCCTGGACCACGGGACGGCCATGCCTGGACCATCTGCTGGATGCACCTTGACCAGCTGACAGACACGCCTGACCCACCGGCCGTACACGCCAGAACCACCTGCTTGACTCACCAGAACCACCTGCCCGACACGACAAAACCACCTTCTGGACACACTGCAACCACCCCGGGATATGCTGCAACCCACCACCCGACATGACTGATCCACCTGCTGGACAGCACTGATCCACCTGTGAAACACGGCAGAATCACCAGCCTGACACCCCAGAACCAACTGCCAGACATGCCGGAATCACCTCTCACATATGGCAGAATCTGGTACCGGATACCCTGAAACCACCTGCTGAATATGCCAGAACCAGTTGCCAGACATGGTGGAAACACTTGGTGGCCACGTCCAAATCACCTGCTGAATACACTGAAACCATCTGCCGGACACAGCCGAGCCACCTCTTGGACTCGCCGGAACCATCTGCTGGTTACGCCAGAAACAGGTCCAGGGCAGGCCAGAACCAGGTGCTGGACAAGCCTGAAGCAGCTGCCATACCAGCCTGGACAACCTGCTGGACCAGCGAGGACCACTTTATGGACATTCCAGAACCACATGCCAGACATGCTGGAACCAGGTGCCCGACACACCGGAACCACCTGATGGACATGCCTGGACCACCAGCCAGGCTTGAGGGAAACACCTGCCAGACATGCCAGAACCACCTGCCGGATACGCCAGAAACAGGTGTTGCACACACAGAAACAAGGTGCCGGACACGACTGAACCAGCTGCTGGATATGCCAGAAACAGGTGTTGCACATACCAGAAGCAGGTGCTGGACATGACTGAAGCACCTCCCGAACAAGACTGAACCAGCTGCTGGACATGATTGAACAACTGC